AGGCAATGATTTGCTCAAAATTCGCAAAATGAACAGCGCTGAACTTATTTTAAAAACTGCAAATTCGTCCGCCATTGCTCTTGCCGCCATCTTGAAAACAAGATCTGCCAGACGTCTCGCCCGTTGTCTCCTTCCCGCCTTCCTTTGCGCGCGCATTTTCATCAAAAGAGAGACGTCTGGGTACGAGGCAGGTGAGCAAAGCATCTGTATTCGGTGTATAAACTCGGTGACCAAAGTAATGAATTTAGAACTTTATACCAAATGCACACGCTGTTCATCTCTAGACCTACAGTAAAAGATGGCGAGCAAACGGTTCTGTTCAGTCAGAGACTGACTGATTCTTCTGAGTGAACCTTGGTGGACTCTCTACAAAATGATACAAGCGCGCTGCAAAAGTAATATTGGCTCGTTCTTAAGGTGTGAAGCGAAACAATCGCGTTCTAACTGAAATATTCAACAAACAAGCGCTCTCCAACGACAGCGACGGTAGCGAAAACGTCACAAAAGACTTTTCAGCAAAAGCCTTGAAAGGCAAAACTATAGAAGTCACGTGATCAAGCCTTGCATTTGCGTTGAAAGTTCTCAACGCGGGATTCAACGCCTGAAGGTAGGTTTTCACGTAAGTGATTTACGTGAACATTTTTTATCCTGAATTTCTGTTTATACCACATGCTAATTACAAAGTTATGCAACAAGTCTTTTAAATAGAAGACTAGATGAAATTTGTCCTGAATGAGTTAAAATAAGATCTTTTTTGCCATTTGAAAATTAAACACTGCTGTTGCCTGGAAATTCAATATGGCGGCTTCTTCACTTGTAATAATTGTTCACATTTGAAGTTTGCTTAAGGTTAAAGACGTGCAGCTAAAGAGGTAAGAGGCACGAACATCGAACGCCAAACGCCGAACCTGAAACTGCCGTTTGCAGTTTGCCGCTAACGGAAAGTCCGTGTGCTAAATATGTCTAGCTATTTTGTTTTCAGCATGTGCACAGCCATTGTTCCTCAGAGAACTTTCTCTGGATATTACAATCGTTAAATTGAAGAAAGAGTTTCTACAAAGGTTTGGGTAGAAGGCTTGTTACGTTAAGTGCGATGAAGAACTATTCTCTCAACCCTGCTTAGGGCCTCGAAATGGCCTTTTTGGTTTAATCACAGTTTACATTAACATGTTTCCTCCTCCGGGACCTTTAGGGAAGTTTATTTATCTAGTTACAACAGTTAAAAGAGTTACAATAGTGGCTAATAGCAACAACGCCAGACTGAGGGTGTACCTTTGTGCAATATGTTCTTTAAAAATCTGAGCAAAAAGAATACTGCAGCCGTCCCGAGGCAACCAACACAAATCCCTACAACATCTCCATGGCTGAGACCTGGCGAACTCTTTCCTTTTCCTTCCCCTAAAAGTTTGAAAAACATTTGTTTAGTAGTCTTAAAATTGTAAACCAGACAAATTCAGCTGGGCTATATGAATTTCAGATCAGAAGCCGAGAGGGGAGTATGCGCTAGGAACCTCTTTAAGGTGGAAACGATTTTTTCACTTCGTCTCAGACCAGTCACCCGTTTCTCGAAAGTCCCGGGAACTTAGCGCCAAAGTTGTGATGTTTGACCGCCTTGGTCTCGAACTTAGGCCAGAGGTTCAGAAATATTTTTACTCTTTGGGTCTGACATAGCGTAAGGTTTTGTGTTCTCCAGCACCATGGACTTGCATTGGGTATGTTTTATATCGCTCCTTTCTTGGAGCCTCGGTGAGGTCTGAATAGAGTTGGGAAAAATACACATTTTGGCCTGAAATAAGGTCAAAGATTTTAGAAAGCGTTTCCACACACCCCTTCTTGAATTTTCCACAAGTATCTCTCCTCCCCCACTGAGACAACAGACAAAAACATTACAAATTCCACCATTTTTGGCTTGTTTTATACACAGGGTGACACAAGTACTGCTACGAGCACTACAACACACCTGGACGCAGGAACATAAATTTGTAAGTGGGACACAACGTTCTTCAGAACAGTTGATAGTGTTTCATTTCCGTTCAGCCTTTCGCCTCCTCTTTTCCACTCAAGTTTTTTGCCATACGATCTCAAGAATTTTCAACAGTTTTAGTAGCTCGTCTGATTTATTGGGGGTCTTACAACGCTTTTGCATTTGTTGTCCCTGTAATAGTACCAAATATACTCCTGTGATCTCTAATAAAGCCGGAGTAACTTTGTGTATAATGGTCAAAGTCTCGGCAGCACTTCTTTTGTGTATTTACTGGTTGGGTTAATCAAGTACCCTTTTTGTGGAAGTGATAAATATAGAAATTTTTAAATGTAAGAGAAAGGACAGAAAGATTTAACGCTTGAAAGATCATCACAGTTGTTTCAGGATTGATAGCTCAGTGAAAAGAGCACTGCACCGGTATCGCAGAAGTTCGAATTCCGTTCAATCCTGACTCTTTTTCAGGCCTGCTTAAGTACAGTCAAACCTCGATATAACGAACCTCTATATAACGAAGTCCTCGTTATAACGCAGGGGCGTAGCCAGGATTTTTCAAAGGGGGGGGGTCACAGAGGCTTTTCGTTATGTTAAGCAGGGACACCGTCCGGGGATCGCCGACTAGTTTTGGTTTATACCGCTGCTCTCCCTCGTGTATCAGCGGGCTCAGTCGTATTATCGCGGCATGAAGGCCCATATTAACTAAAGACAAGACCCGTTGACGAAAATACTTTACAAAAAAACAAATTTTAAAAAAGTGGGCTTTTCAACAATGGCTTTTACGACCAAGATATTGTCATGGCGTTTTCGCCACCTGAATATTGTAGGTTGTTTGCTCAAAAGAAGGCTTACCAGGGGGGGGGGGTCACGGGCACTCCAGGACCCCCCTTAACTACGCCCCTGTAACGAACGGTTTTCATTACCCGACTAATAGTAAAATATATGGAAAAGAACGTCGATATAGCGAATGTACATTTTGTCAGTCCCTTTGCTCTTCGTTATATCGACGTTTCACCGTAAGTAACTCCGACGATCTTTTATGTATTAAATTTTCCTTTTTCTCTACAGAAAGGGAACAGGAAGAGATGACAGATGAATTTCAGCTGTTCAAAGCGATTTCAACCAGACAGACAAAAAAACACTGTTTCTATCGTGATAATAAGGATAATTCATTTTAAGTTAACAAGAACGTAGTTTTATTCAAATTTTAACAAAAATAACTACACTTGTTACGCTTAGAACCACTAACACATTGATTAGCTGGTTTGTACAGAGTTTTCCTTGAAAGACTAATAAAACTGGTTGAAGTTGTCTTTAATTGCATGGTAAGATGTGTTGTTGCTGCTTCACGCCAAGCACACCACACTCCGTAATGTAAATACGGTGAGATATAAAGTGACCCAGCGCCGGATATACACAAAGAAGTACAGTAATCTATATGATACTTCCGATAGAGATTAGAATCAAAATATAAGCCAAGGTGATGTAAATGATTTTCCATGTAGTGTTTGACTAGTATTTGAGTTGTCATTTATTTTCACGTTAGGATAAAATGAAAGAGTTGACGTGTACGGAAAATAGTGTACTTAGATATTTCCACGTTTTAAGTCAATTTATTAAGGGCTAGCGAGGAAAATGGAGAGCTCTTCATCAATTTACTTACTAGTTTTTTATTTTTTATTTTTATTTTTTATTATTGTTTGCACAGGTTACGCCAGTATCATCGGCAAATTTCTTATGAAGTTTCAACTATTACCTGCGAGGAAGAGAAAAAGCTGCCTTTTTACCTTTACAGTTTTTTTTGTTTCGAGCCAGCTAAACAACAGTAACGTTTGAACTCAAGTAGTTTAAGGCCTGGGACTAAGGCGTTTACTTGTAGAAAATGAATTATTGGCTAGAACTTTGGCACTATCAACCCAATCCCAAATGCGGTGGCTAAGTTACAACTGCGAAATTCTCTTCTTCATTCAATTCCCTGTATTTCCTATCTACTTGATTTATCCTACTGCAAGTCTTCCTATTACTACTTCCTTGTTTTACTTTCAGGAGTCCGTTTCTAGAATGTTCCATTAGCTTTCGAACCCGCAGAACTGTTTTATGTTTGCTATGACGTGTTTGCTTTCAAGATCAAAATGTCAATAATTTTGAAAACGATACAATGAAACTCTCAGTTAACGAAGCACAGTGACTAATTTGTGATCCAGGAAATGTACTTCAACTCAATCGGTTTCGATTCTAGAATCTGCCTTTGGGCCCAAAATTGAACGGATCTTTTGACAAATGCTATCTTTTCAAGATGTGGTAAGACAGCATAAGTGATCCCCCGGGTAATGCTTCATACAAGCACAGCTATTAGCTATCTTTAAGCGTGCTTTGTAGAAAACCCGGTAAAAAAACACAGATGAAAACAACAGTGTTACTTTACAAAAAAACAAATTTTAAAAAAGTGGGCTTTTCAACAATGGCTTTTACGGCCAAGATATTGTCATGGCGTTTTCGCCACCTGAATATTGTAGGTTGTTTGCTCAAAAGAAGGCTTACCAGGGGGTCACGGGCACCCAGGACCCCCTTAACTAACTATTGTTTGGGACGGGGGGGGGGTGCGGGGTGGGGGCGGACAGGCGATCCAAACCTCCCCACTCCCGTACCTCAAATTCCCACCTCCCCAGACTTTTTCATTGGCTTCCTCCCTTGAGTCTAGATTTAGCCCTTGTAGTTTGCGAAATCTTGAGCATTGTTGCGTAATTTGCCGCTATTTTTCCCGCTTCCCCCTTTTTCCCACTCTTTTTAGAACTCCCACCTCCCCCCCTTTCCTCTCTCTCCTCTCGTACACCTCCCACCCCCTTTTCGCCCAGGCCCCCACCCCCAGTCCTCTTCGACTGCCTCATAATAATTGCAGTATATCATCTTTCATTCTTGTCAAGGCTTTTTATTCCCAAATTGGTCGTAGATTGTTTTCTTTTTATCATCATCTCCATTTGAGACTGAAGTAAGTGACATCTGAGATTAGATTAACCTTTGAGGCAAACCGAAGCATTCCGCCTTAGACTAAGAAGCTGGGAACATGTACTGGGATATTCTTGTTCGATTAAATGCCTCTCCCCAGTGATCTTCCCCAGAAGTTATTAGAGATTTCTCAATTCCTTTGTTTCGATATCTTATTACTTCCTTGTTTGTAACTTCAACTGCAAATGACAGCAACGCTCATATCTGCTTACATAGCAACGTTCATAAATGAACAAAGCCAAACGAATAATCCCGTAATCGACGCCCAAAACGCCCGTTCAGAATGGATTATGCTAAGATGGCCATTTTCATTTTGCTAGCTTTCTCCTGCCTAAGTTATACCGACGGCGGATGTCTTCCACAGGATTGTGAGGTGAGTTCTTGGTCCTATTGGAGCTCGTGCTATGGTGAGCGATGCGGTGGACGAGGAATCCAAAGACGAACAAGATGGCAAGACACCGTCCCAAGCTGTGGAGGATCAGAATGTCCGACTTTGGAGGAAACACGGTCGTGTGGCAGTGAACTCACAAGCTGCCTCAACGGAGGGCGTTTGAATGACGATGGAACATGCTCCTGTGCCGACGGCTATTCTGGACAATGCTGTGAAGTGAAACTTGACGGTATAGTCAGAAAACGTTTTCTTTGCTTGCACAGAAATTTTAAATCTATTAATCTCTTTTTCAAATTCGTGTTCACTCTTTCTTATTAATTTCGAACTGAAACGATAAATACGTTCATAGACTCTCGTAGTTCCCTCGAAAACTCATACTCGATTCCAGACCAAAATAGGCGAAGTCTATATCAGTCCGAAATGGCGCAGAAACCCTACCCTTTGGGGCAGCACATACCTATATGTATACGATTTATAGAAGAAAGTACCCCCCGTTGGAATATATAACTTTCGAGGATTCACTGATCTCATTTTAATCCATTTTGTGCCAGTTCCTACGGCTACGGAGAGCACTATTCGCTAGGCGTTTCTTGCACAAGCATCCTTTGCCACAATGCTGTCTCAAAATTGTGAATAATATTTGAATCGAGATTCGAAGTCTCTATTTCAGACTTAAAGAAGCAAAACGTTTTGGTGGGGGTTTTAATCAAGACCGATGTTCTTATTAGTCGCGAAGCGTCGTGTACAAAGTCCTGTGCTCGTATAAAGGTGGCTTAGGCGCCCGCAGAGACTTACGCTTTGTCACGCGTTCTTGCCCACTGAATCCTTTTCCTTTTTTTGCAATCACGTGCAAATTATTATCGCAGAACCAATTGACGCCAAGACATTGTTTAATAAAAGGCAATCATAAGTAGAAAATTAATTAAGTGTTGACAGGCCAAACACGACACAGAAGCCCGAGATAGTGATACCTGGACTTCGAGTTTTGCTCGAATAAGAATATCGTTCAGAGATTTTCATTTATATATGGGATGAAGCGGAGGGTCTTCGCATATGCCTCTTAGAGGTTGGATTTTTAGATGCCATTTGCTCATAAAGGTGTTGTTAGGCAATGGCAGGGTTACCCTATGGAAAGCCATAACTTTCTTATGTGGTTATTTATCATTATGTGGTGTAGTTTCTTCATTATGTCTCGTGGTTACTTCATTATGCCTTGTGGTTACTTCATTATGTCTCGTTGTTACTTCATTCTGTCTTGTGGTTTCTTCATTATGTCTTGTGGTTACTTCATTATGTCTTGTGGTTTTCTTCTTGTGGTTTCTATGTAAATATCTTATATAGCGTGAAATAAAGAATTGAATTAAATTCTTCATTATGTCTTGTGGTTTCTTCGTTATGTCTTGTGTTTACTTCATTATGTGGTTTGTTCATTATGTGATGATTTATTCATTACGTATGTGATGTGGTTTCGTCTTTATGTTTTGTTGACTTTACTTCCAGTATGAAGCTCTACTACCTAGGCTTTACTCGTTACCAAGAACTAGTTAAGCCGGTATTAAGAAGGGCCCCAGTTCCTGCTCTTCCGCGTTGTCAAAGATTACAAAATGGCGGGAGCAGCTAACCATTCATCTTGTACGGGTCCCGGCAGTGGGAAATTTGTCAGTAAACCTCTGGGGTATAACGTCGTTCTTTTTCCAATATTTCACTTAAAAATATGCCTAATTGGATAGCTTTATATATATCTATAGAGAATATTTTTGATAATTTTGCTTTAAAAAGATATGTTTGGTTTTCACTCCACACTTCCCTATCCCACAGTATTTCTTGCATCCGTTCTAGAAAATTGTCTGCCGCCATCGTGACGTGATCAGTTGGCACATGGAGGAAAAACAATTAATGTATCGTTTGAAGCGTTAAGTTTAAAGGAAAGACACTTTCTTTGTGCGTGAGTGGTTGAGGCAGAAAGGCCTAGAAAAACTTTGTGAGATATTTGAGAGCTAATATAAACTACGTGTATTGTACGATCAATGCGGCAAGTAATACGCTGACGAAACAGTTCTGTTATGTTGAGAAAGTGTTTAATAGCTCATCGGTTGTTTTTTTATCATTCACTATATTAAACGTCTTCGAAAATAAGAAGTATTATTAAAATTCTAGTTTACAGTTCTATAATTGATATTAATCAGATGGATGTGATCTTTTTTCGTAATAATTGTAACTTGGGACTAAGGGCAATTTGCGTGGGGCGCTTCACACGTTTTGATAAGGTTATTAGAAATCCATAAATGTGGTTTTTGCAGCTTATTTACTGGAAAATACAATTTTGGTGTTGTCCCGGAGTGGGGCATTTGCACCCTATTTTTAAGCCACACCGTGGGGTTTTTGTATGAACGCCCGGCCCCACAATGGGGCATTTGCAGCTCAGTTTCCAAAAACAAATGACAAAATGGCTAGCTCGAACGCTAAGCTCCTCTGAAGACCGTACACTTTTATCCAAGCCATTAATTTTCTTTTTTCCTTCTTCTTCTTCTCCTTTATTAGTGTATTCCTACCTTACTATATATACCTGGAGTTATGAAAACCGGGTTAGCAAACATTTTGTAATTTTTCTCAACTTCCCCTGTCTAATAGCTTCTTTACTGTGTTGTTTGCTCATGTCGTGTTTTTTTGCTTGTTTTGTGGTTAGGGATTTGTGTAGAAGTGGATGTAGACAGAATTACTATCTTACCCTCCCCCACCTCCCTATTTTTTCCTTACCCACAATTCTTTGTTTAACACAAGTGACAGTTATTTAGCAGTTTAGTTTTAGATATTGGTCACCTTGAGAAAAGTTTCCCGGAGAGCATCATGTAAAGCTCTGAGATGGGACAAAGTTATTACGATTCGCAGAGTCTGCATCGTCCAATATCGTATTATATTCTCGTTTCATTTGGCTAAACGGATCAATCACCCTGATTCGGGCTGAGACAGAAAGGTACGATATTGTTCGCTTTTGTAAGGTGACCACTAAGTCTTTGGCCTCGGGAACAGGCTCTTAGGAGTCAAATGAATTAGTCATGGTGAGCAAAATTGCAGGTGAACTTTGACCCGGGTTAAGTGGTGTGAAAACAAGGCTAAGGTGATCTACAGACCGTGTGACTCTACATCCGGGAACTTGAATAAGACGAGTGTAAGAGAAAAGTCCAGAGGTGTTTATCTGGCAATAGGCTGAGTTTTTCCGAGTTAATCGATGATTTTTCGCTTATGTCAAACGTGAGAAGATTATGCGTGGTTGTGGATCGTCTTATCAGTGCCGCGAAAGTGTGTGATTGTGTGATTTCCGCATGACGTTGAGAGGCATGTGATCGGGTGGTTAAACTGCGGTTTGGCCAAAATATTCTGTGCCAGCCATTAATATTATTTCGTCAGTGTTTAGCTTAGCTGATTGTACCTTGGAAAAGCAACTCTCGGCTCAGGAAAATTGGATCTAGGTCTAGTTTCAGCGGGCTCTAACGGCATTGAACCATAGGCCGATTTGTGCAGATAAGAAAGTGATAATTTGTGTACTACGTTTCATTCAGTTTGTTGTCTATTCCATGGGGAATCCTGTTGTTTATCGAACCGCTAAAAAGTAGTGTTTTGCTAACTATTTAAGTTGTTATGTAAGCCTTAACCAGGCACTCTTTCGCTGCAGTTCACTTAACTTGAAAATTTCTAGACTGAAACGACACCGGTTTGAAACTTCGCGAAGTCAGTTTACTGAATAAATGTTCTAAAATTTGCGTCATTTTAAATTTGGAGTCGTTGGAATGCTTCTAGGGACCATTAACTTACTGCCCGGCGTCAGATAAAGGCTTTTAATCGGCCTTTGAATGAGCTTTATTGTTTTTTCGGTGTTAGCACAAAGGGCACGGAGGCGATGACGATTCCGACGATCGTAGTTACACCAAGACGTACAAGCTCGTCATCGGACAACTCTGATTCATTTTGAGGCTCAATTCTTTTGGCAGCAAATTTCGGAATAAGAGACTCGGGTTTGAGGTCCTTCAGAATACTCTTCATGATGTTTTCTTCCTTCACAAGCTAATCGAAATGTGGTGGTTGCCTGCTCCCACCATTTTGTTATCTTTGACAACGTGGAAGAGCAGGAAATGGGGCGCCTCTTAAAACCGGTTTGACTAGTTCCTAGTAACGAGTAAGGCCTGGGTACTAGAGCTTTGTACCGGAAGTGAAGTCAACAAAACATAAAGACGAAACCACATCACGTAATGAACAAACCACGTAATGAAGAAACCACAAGACATAATGAAGTAACAACGAAACATAATGAAGTAACTACAAGGCATAATGAAGTAACCACAAGACATATTGAAGAAACCACACCACATAATGAAGAAACCACACACGTAATGATAAATAGGCACATGAGAAAGTTATGGCCTTGCATACTACCCTGCGAACAGAGTCTCCTTCGATCTTCCTAGATAAGTCCGGAAGAGGAGGGAGACTCTGCCTACATCCTCGACTATTCATATTGAGCATGCTCCAAATTCGGACCTCTTAGGAAACAGAAGTTGACTTCAAAGAGTTTGTGATTGGTGGCTTTCGATCCATTTTGTGTGTTTCAAGGTTCGTTGCTTGTGATCGTAATTATTACGGCAGCACCTGTAAGCTGGATTTTAAATCTCGGAGTTTGCGTCTTAATATTGAAAAGGGCAGTAAAAATCTTGAATTTTTAATTCTTTTATTATAAATGTAGGAAAATCAAGTAGCACTCGAAAAGTAAACCAGACGTGACGAATGCTTGGTTCCTTCTGTGAGTACCGGAGCACAGATTACGTAATACAATAGTAATAAAAGACAGGAAACAAAACAACTCCAAATAAAGACTAATCCCAAGTGACCAAAAATACAAAGCTTTCCGGTACCTGCAGAAAGACCCGAATGCTTGTTGAATATTAGTAGCATCGATGATTTAAATGCAGCTTAGATTCTTTAGTCTCATGATCGTGTTTTAAAATAATGTTATGAATGAGCAAACACAAAAGAATAGACAGAGAAATTATTTTTTGAAAATTTTTATTCAAAAGCCCATTAGTTTATCCTTAAAACACTTCGCGTAACACTTGCACATGGATAGTGGATCAGTTCACGCAATTAAAATCGGCCGAGGACGTGGTTAAATCTAAAACAAAATCCGTCTCAAATCGGTGTATTCTCTAATTTTTCTAAAAAGGACTAGCGCTCCGCTGCAGTTTACTAAACGTTGAATCGATAATTTTCTTAAAATCACTTCGTGAAAATCGAAACGGTAGCGAATTGTTTTGTTATAGAGCGTGGGCTCAGGGAAAGTCAGCAATACTCCAGAAGACGCGTGCGTGCACAGATGAAACTGGATTATCCAGTATGAAACTTGTCTGACTTATCCAAATCGCGGGATGATCGGTAAATCAAAGGAATTTGAAGATGTCGGCAGAGTCGCTTCCTCTTTCCCGACTTATCTAGGAAAGATCGAAGCGACTCTGCTAGCAGGGTACGGCAGGGTGGTACGTTGGTTGGTTTTCGGAGATATATCAACTAACCTCTGCGATTTGGATTTCGAGTAGGAGTTTCGAGTTAGGATTCGAGTTGGATATTTTGACCTCATCCTCTTCTTGTGCCTAAAAAAATAACTATTAAAGCAGAAGATTACTTAATTCCATGCACAGTGTATCTTTTGCACTTGTATTGTACACAGTATGCGTTTAATAGAGGTGAGGACAATAAGGGCCTGTTTACATGAAAGGAAGAAGATCCTAAAAGAGCTCCTGGAAGATCCAAGAATGAGGAACAACTTTTCGTTGGTTTTACCGTATGCAGAAATTTCCGTCCGTGATTACTCACTCAACAACGCGCCGCCATTTTAGTATGGTTTGACCCTGGTACTAGGATCTCCTTAGCGAAGGTAGTTCACACGGTGTTTAAATACAATCTTTCTAGTTCTTGGATCTTCCTACCTCTCAGCTATGAAGATTCTAGTAATAGGAAGATCCTAGCGCTGAGGAACAAGTGCAACTTTTTGCATGTAAACCTACTACAGAAAACATATGGTGCTAGGATGTTCCACCTCCTGGAATATCTGGAATCTTCCCGATGCTAGGATCAACTACCTCCCCTAATGTAAACAGCCCCTACTCGTTAGCTCTCGTTAGGAGGGCTACGGAACAGATGCCCGTGACTGCCAGGTAGAGGTTTAATACCACCGCCGTAGCCAGTATGAGGCGAACCGAGGCACTCGCCTCGGTAAAATTTTACCAAATACTGTCGATTTTTATTTTTTTTATCAGACTGATAATATTAGAAGATTTCATACGGCTGATTTCGTACAACGGACCGTGTGTTCGCCTCGGTTGTAGTTTCTTCCTGGCTACGGCCCTGAATACAGGTTAATTTTACAATAATTAAGGAAATGATTTTAAGAAAAGGAACCACTTTTAAGCCTCGTATTAAAATGTCTGAGACCTCTTGATACAGATTTGACTGTGATTCGAATCCTAACTCCGGAAAATCATCTCGAAACTTCATTCAAAATCCAAGTCGAAATCCTAACTTGGCAAATAGTTATAGTTTAGCTAGTTTGTTGTTTTCTTTTTTTAAGTGGTAACGAAGTAACATACTGGTTTCTTTTGTCAGGTGGTGGCAGCAGAGTTTCAGTTACTGTAATTGTTGGTGGAGCTTCCGGTGGCTGCATTGGAACCATAATCTTTTTCTGCATTATATGCTATTGTTGTAGTAAATGAAATGCATTGCGTGCAATAGTGACTCATTCGGGTGAATAGCTCCTAAACACAATGATCGTTGACCATAGATCAAGCAAACTTTAATTAACATCTTAACTTTAGAAGATCTTTTGTAGATTTTAATGCGTGATAAGTAAGGCCCTTGATATGACAATGAATTTTATGCTCATGCAATATGACTAATTTCCATAACAAAGGTTTTGCACATAGCCTCGTTTTGAAAGTAGGAACTTTTGGAATTCGCGAATGGCTTTTTCGCTCCAAAAACTTGTCCCGCCTTAGATTAGCCATTTCTATTTGCGGGCATGTCAAACTTGTAACTGTTTCAGAAAAGCAATAATTAATCAGGGTGTGCTTGAATGTGTGTACGTACTGGAGACGTTTCCTTCAAAAGATCGTTTTCCTCTGTAGAACTTAAGTCCTCATCTTTGAATACAGGAGCTAGTTTAACGGCGGCAACATAACTGTGTCATGATTATTTAATTTTTCTTCCCTTGGTAATTAGCCTTTGCGAACCTTCCTCCATGACCATGTCTAGTACGCGGTATTTTTTGAATATTGCGCCTCGGTCCACGTCTCAGCTCTTGGGTTTTAGCTTCAGGGTGGGTACATTTACTTTTTGGTATTTCTTCTTCTTGAGTTTTTTTTTTATTCTTGAGAAAGCTTGTGACATCGTAAAATTCTCGGAAATTCCCTAGAATTCGCAGAAATTTTCATGGGCTTGTCTACCAGAATTTCAGACCTTCTTGGGCATTCCGAAGAATTCTCGAGAATAATGTGAATACCGTAAATGACCTATTAAACGCCCGGGGCGCTTATTAAGTTTTAAGGGTCCAAGAGGAGGCGTTTAATAGATGGGAGGCGTTTAAAACAGAGAGGCGTTCATTCTTGTAACTTTTATTAAAATATCCGTTCGGCCAAAACCGTTTGTGTGTTCACAGAATCTCGACTGCGGGCTGACGGCTTTTGCACTCCAAAGATTCTAATTTAATTTTTTTTTCTCTTTTGCTACAATCAAGAGGGTACTTTAACGAGTGCGCACCGAGATCAAGAAGATCAAAGAGCGCTATCCTTACTTTGAACTTGGAATTGAACATGACAATACACAAACCGATGTTAATCAAACAATGAAATTAATAAATTGATTGATTTTGCTCTATTTTGCTATTTTCTTGTATTCTGGAGCAATTTTCACGGGAGGCGTTCCCTAGAGAGGGGCGTTTAATACAAACTTAACAGCGTAGGGGAAGCGTTTATTAGATAAGAGGCGTTTATTAGATCATTTACGGTATCAATTTGACAAGGTAATTCAAAGACAATTCTCAAGAATTCTCAGGTATTCTTGGGAATTATAATCTCGCCGACGCTTATATCAAATACCCATCTTTCTGTAAAAGATCGTTGATACAAAAAAGACACAAAAGTAACGCAACGAGTTTGGGGCAAAAAAAAATTATTCTATTAAACTTCAGGCAATAAAATAAAACTCAGGGAGGGTGGGGAGGGAAAAACAAGCGAGGAGAGACCGCAAATAACAGTAACAGTAACAATATCTCTTTGTGCCTTACTCTCCATATGGAGTTATCGGGACGTTTACATCGGGGGTGGAAGCTGAATAATTGGATCACGATTATTCATTATTCTTTGCTTTTTTCTCCAAATTATTCATTATTCATTTCAATTTTTTTTCGTGATATTCGTTATTCATTTTTTAGTTTTTTTCTCTACATCGGTTATCAAAAGTTTACATTTCAGTATGCACTCAACCTCATCTTTAGCAACCATTATTCTATTTTTTCTATACATTTGGTCAAAATAATGTTTCCTTTGCGATCAATAGACCGTCTTTACAATTACTAGGACGCGAGGGACCAAACAATAGCAGCTTAATAACCTTATTAAGTACTAAAAAATAATAACTAACAAACTACAGCTGAAACGAACACTTTTCATAATCGTAATCGCACGTAATCGATTTGGTTCACAAGTCGGGCAAGATAGGCTGCTTGCTTGCACGGGACCAGCTATGCTGCACCACCTACCAGGTTACTCACTTATTTCAGGACCTGTCTATTGGCAGGTCCAGGTTTCATTGCAACCTTGACGCTGAGACATAAATTAATTTCCAAATTGTCCAAACATTGTCGAACATTACAATGCAAGACTCTTATATTGCATCTTTTTAGACAATTGCATTTATAACTAAAGTAATAGTTAACAATTATTCCTCGAGCCCGAATGGGCTATTGACTCAGAGGCCATGAGGGCGAGAGGAATAATTGTTTTAGTAAAATCCTACTAGTTGGTCAAAAATATCGAGACAAAACAACTTTAGCTATTAAAACGCGATTCTGCCGCCATTGTTTTGGTTTTCAAAGCCGGCGCTTTTCGCTACTGGTGGGCTATAACATAGCCTAGTAGTAGCTCATTATACCAATCAGAACGCAGCATTGGTAATAGACCACTAAAATCCAATATCTTAATTATTAGGGGACAGGCTTTTATTTTAGTTTCATCTTGAGCCAATCTTGACCCCTGTCTTGAGCCTCTGTCAACCATTCCCTAACAATTGACGAGAGCCGATGTGAAGGTCGTGCGACATACCACAGGAACGTAGTGTGGGACTGGAAACATAACTGTCACGGCAATGTTGTAGCCGTTTTACAGGAACTGTTCAGGGTCGACGCAGCGTGAGATTTTGAGGGTGTGCGCACGCGGGGAAGAAAAGTTGTATCGCCGAAAGTGGCCTGGCCTAGGGGACTCTGGGAGCATGCTCCCCCAGAAAAGTTTTTAATTTAGGGTCTCGGAAATGCCATTTCCAGCGTTTCCCGCAGGACATTTTCCGTAGTTATATATGTTCAGTTGTTTATTTTACCCATCTCCAGAGATGTCGGTAAAAGGGTACAGTGTTTAAGGAAAAAAGGCCAGTGATGACATCAGAATTCTGAAATAACACTGAATATAAAAGAAATACTAACACAAAAAAATATACCAGTCATCCCTCGTTTCTCGCTGATTCGCCGTTCGCCCCCGCCCGCGCGTGCTCGCATTCACCGTGTCCAAAAGAAAAATAAGAGACTGCTCGCAAACTTATCTTGATGACGCCTTTTCGGTGATCGCGATCTGGACAGAATCATATAATAAAGACGAGACGGTAAGAAGTTGATTGTTTGAATATCATCGAGTATAAAATCTTTCAAATGATTACTAATAAGCTGATTAAAAGAACGGAACGTTTGTGCTGACCTGCTCCGATTGTGTACTAAACGTCACTTTTCAGGTGACCAGGAACGCGAGCTGGAAACATTGTCAAGAATGATAAATAGACCTACCGTCGATGACGATTTCTCTTCTTCTCTGACTTCTCTTTTTTTCCATTGTTCAAAATCGAATGAAGAAGAAGATTTTAGAAAAGCGATCCAATTCTACGAAAATACAGTGGCCGTAAACTGTAGACATGACACGTCGAACTAAAAAGGGAACCAAAGGTCAAACATCTCAAGTGATTGACATGCAACTTTGCAGGCTGTCAATTACGTGGTATGGGATTGGCTGTCGGAAAAGAACGCTGACTTTCAGGAGTTTTGTTTCGGGGTTTGGTTTACTATGGGCCTCCCCCTTCCGTACCTAAAATTCCCGCGTCCCCAGACTTTTTTCTTGGCTTCCTACCTGAGTCTCGATTTAGCCCTTGTAGTTTGCGAAATATTGAGTATTGTTGCGTAATTTCTCCCTACTCCCCCCTGCTTCCCCCCCTATTTCCCACTCTTTTTAGAACTCCCACCTCCCGCCCTTACCTCTCCCTTCTCTCGTACCCCTCCCACCCTTTTTTCGTCCGGGCCCCAACCCCCTGACCTATTCGACTTAGCTAAACGGACCTAGCTCCAACAGGCCTTACAACCATTGCAGTATATAATTTTTCATTCATGTTAAGTTTGTTAGTCTGAAATTGGTCGTATTTTTTTCCCTTTTATCATCAGTAAGTGACATCTGGTAAGACAATGATTTCCCATGCCCTGTCAGTATCCTTAATATATAATGATTGGCGTTTTCAAGTTTATTGGCCCGGACTCTCCCCACCCCTAACAGGAGGGGACTACAGTATTCTAGATGTGGTAAAATGAAAGACTCGAGTGTATAGTTGATAATCCCATATTATACGGCCTCATACCCGGTCCTCTTCGGTTTGAATACTGGCAATACAGTCAACTCTCTATTAGGGCCTGTTTACATGGAGGTGGGGAACCCCAGATATGTGAGGTAACATGCGATATAGAAGTTGTTAAGTATCTTTAAAATCAGACTTAAACAACGCACAATGCAAACAATTCTATTTTGAACAGATAACCTTTGTTTTCTAAAGGAAGCAATTTTTTAGATTTCAAATAATATCGATCTAATACTTATTCTGCATTTAATCATACTTATTTACCTGTCACTAGTTTGGTGTTGTCCTTCTTTTCGGTCGTACATAATTTTTAATGTTGACGAAATTTTACATAACTTTCCAGCTTATATACTACATTGTTATTCGTGTAGGTAGATTAGGTGTGAAGTATTATCATTTAAAGCTTTCGCTAATTCAACTTAATCCATTGATAAAGTTACGAGATTTGTATAGCTAATAGCATGATTAGTAGTGATATTTGGCATAAATACCACAAGTGATTTTTCAAAATTGTTGTACGTAATTTCACGAGCCGGTAGGTGAGTGAAATTTGAGACTATTTTGAAATATCACGAGTGGTATTTATGCGAAATATCACATACAAATTATGCTATTATTTGTTTATACTACTACCCGCAAAAGGTTTGTAATTTTCACATGTAGGTATTTCAAATTAAGCTGAAATACCACTGCTCTAAGCCAATCAAATTGCAGAAATTTCTCATGTAGTGGTATAAAAGCTGTAAACGCTACAGCATCACTGTAGTATTGAAATTGATTTACAGTTATCCATTTCCATTCTTTCTTACACATAACGGTAAACACCCGCTAATAAGAACCCTGCGTATTCTGGCAGCCAAGCAAAATCATGCAGGTTCTTTTATGTGAGTTACAGTTAAATTAAGATAAACATTTCAAGTTAACCAAGGAGTTTGAGGCCTCGGCCACACGTATCCGTTTTTGCTTGAAAACGGATATTTATTTTCCTCGGTTTGGACTACCGTCCCGGCCCACGTATCTGGTGAAAACGGTCACCGAAAAGGCATCTTTTCAAAAACGCTCTTCAGAGTGAAGATTTTTGAAATTTCCGGCTTAAAATCGTTTACGTGTGGACGGACGAAAGCGGAGTTTTCGAATACGATGATGTCATACATCAATACTTGTAGTATGACGCATGCTCAATGAGGGACGCTATCGTCTTTTAATCGTTTTAGTGTTCGTGTAGAAGGGCTAAAACGATTCGAATACGCTAAGTGTGGATGCGTATTTTTCTGAAAATCTCCCTTTTCGAAATTATCCGGGTACGTGTGTGGATGGGACCTGACTTCGAGGTTGCCAATTGACATAGAGAATACTTCGTGGAAAGTGCTGTCGTACGGTATTTACGTACGAGTTATTGACGTATCAGAAATCGAACGAGTGAGCGCAGCGAACGAGTAAGATTTCTGATACAAAAACAACGAGTGCGTAAATACCGTACGCCAGCACTTTCCATGTGGTATTGTGTTTGTTATATACATACTGAGACATTCATCATTTTGGGGGCCTTTTTATTTTAAATCTTTCAAAAGTGCTAAAATTTGCCGCGCTACACACTTACCGCAAAATGACAACGAAAACGAAGTATCAGCATTTTAGTACAGTAAAAACGTTTGTTAAAAACATAAATGACGGTGAGGATACGAGGTAATCCAAGAACTATAAGTAATCTTAACTGTTTATTCTCAATGTACAATTGAAAATGAGTGAATTTAAGTAAATGGCCGGTTTCAATGTAAGCTTAAGCTTAAATGAAAGGCAAAGTAGCTCCGACAAAAAGCACAACAAAAGCTTACGTCTCGTTCTGTTTATCCCTTTCCGCTGTTGTTTTGCCTGCTCTCTACTGTTTTCTTTATCGCCAGTGAAACAAACGAAACTATTCCACTCCATTTCCGAAATGTTTTCCACTATTTTAGCGAGAAATACTCTTTGAGTAAACTTTTCTCGTTGAATGTGTGCGAAGCGGTGCTGCAAGCTGCAATAAAAGGCGGGAATTTTGACGTGAAACTCACACACCTCTGTGGCTTCTGACTGGACGTATCATTTTTCTTACACGTGAAAAAACATCGTTCGCGATTCTGATTGGACGTATCATTTTTTTCACGTGTGAAAACCATCGTTCGCTCCTCTGATTGGCTAGAACTAATCTGCGTACGAAAATTTCCAACATAGCTTTTTGGTGAGTATTTCTCAGTATGTATATAATAAATGGGCGTCGATAAAACCCGGAACATTCCGGAACATCCCGGAACACCCCGGAACATGAAAAAATAAAAATAATTTTCAAGAAAAAAAATATAATAAAATAATAATAATAAAATGATTTTTGTAAAAAATTAATAAACGTAAAATAACAAAAATAATAATAATAATAATAATAATAATAATAATCAAGAAAAAGAAACTGGTATCCTCTCTGAGTATGACAAAACAATATTTTGTCGCAACAAATTAAAATTTGTTGGGCGAGTGAGGGTCCATTCAAATGACAGCTTGCTTCTAAATTCAAAATATATTAAAATGGGTCGCGAGGAGGGGGTTTTCAAGCTTTCCTCACACAGCCACCTCTTGTAATTGTTTGCCAAGAGTTAATCATTCGGCGGTTATCCATTTACGGCTCTGCGATGGTCTGAATTAATGTCGGTGCAGTATTTCATGTGAAGCCAAGTCGGTAAGTAGCTCATTTCAAGCCAACATATAGTCTCCTTATATATAACCGACATTTGCTTACTTGAGGTGCTTCACTTCACTTGAGGTTGACATGAATTACTTACAGACTAGGCGGCTCTGTGAACTTAAGAAGAGCATAGGGGCTCCTGTCTTTGGATTTTAGTGGACAATACTCACATTTGTAGTAGTTTCTATACTGTTTACAATCAGCATGATATTTCAGACGCCTCCTCGAGTCGCAAGAGGAGTTTGCGGGGAGACGTCTAAAATTCAGGCTAACTGAGTGTGCAGCTGTTCGTTGTCTGTTCAAGAGGACCTAACTGGTGAGCAAGCTTTAATACGATTTCTAGTTTGAAAGGGCAATTACTGCTCTGGTTTGCTTTATAATCAAGAAATAGGGTTTTACGCGCAAATTTTTGTCAGAACTAGCTTGTTCTTTGCAGCTCGATTTACATTGAGGTAGCGTGTTCGCTTCTCAACTCAGAGCCAGGGTTTTCAGTGTTCTCTTTTCCTTTGTGAATTGAATTTTAAGCGGTAGTTGATCAAGGCATAGGGTTATATTGTCAAAACGTTTATCAGAACCAGCGCGTTCTTCGCAGGTCGATTTACATTGAGCCAGTCCTCACCTTCCGTGAGCAATGCAACATATTTGCGGACCAGTTAGAAACTACTGCTGCGCTACCACTACCATTGCAAATATTCACGGCGAATGTGAATCTTTAATTTAATTATCCATGTCCAAAGCGACGAGCCCCTAAGCTCTTCTTACGGTCGCAAAGCCGTAAATGGATAACCGTTAAACCGCATGACAAACATTTACAAGAGGTGACTGTGTGAGGAAAGCTTGAAAACCCCCTCATTGCGCGGAGCATTTTAATATATTTTGAATGTAGAAGCAAGCCTTCACTCACTACTGTCATTTGAATGGACCCTCACTCGCCCAAAAAATTCATTGCGACAAATCATTGTTTTCTCATACTCGGAGATGATACCAGTTTCTTTTTCTTTCTTTGTTTGTTTGTTTGTTTCTTTATTTTTCGTTTTTATGTTATGTTATGTTATGTTATTCATTTTGTTATTATAAATTTTTACAAAAATTGTTTCCTATCTATTGTTCTTTTTATTATTTATTATTATTATCATTATTATTATTATTATTATTTAATTAATTAATTATTTTTTCATAAAAAAATAATTTAAGTTTTTCATGTTCCGGGTTTTATTGACGCCCATAATAAATTACAAGACGATGCTGCACCAGACTATAATTACAAAAAAAAGCATTACTGTAATTCCTACAAAAAAAAAAGGTTTATGTAAAAAGTACAGATTGTAATTGTCTTCATGGAACTTACATAAAGGAGACCAAACTCAAATTTCTTTACTTTTCTGGTAGTCAACAGTTTTATCTCTTTTATAGAAATTAAGAACCTAATTAAGAACCTACTTAGCCTAAATTGCCAATAATTACCCCAAAATAAAAGAACCTCTTTTGCCAGACTTCCAAAAACGTCGTTTCTTATTATAGCAGGTGTTTACTGTATTATCCAGTACACGTTAACTACGTAAAAGGTTATTTGTAAGATCCTTCGGTGGTGAACGTTTACGTCTCGAAACACTCACGGCCCTGCTAGCAAAGCCTTCCATTCGCCTGCTCGAGTTTGTTTATTCTGACGTAGTCGAGAAAGACTCTATAAATCGAGTTGCGTCAGGCTGCAAGGATACAGTTTCGAACCCACTGGCCTAAGTGATTGCTTATGGGAGTTGGTCGCACATTGAGATTCGACTGTCTATTTTAGTGCACAGAGGATTTTAATTATTACTAATATATGCAGGGTGTTTCCCGTTATTGTTTTTGTTTATGAAGGAACACTTCCAGGAATCGAAGCACCGTCCAAGGGGCTTCTCAAGCATTGGGAGCAAGGCCTCATCGAGGGAGTGCAACTTTGTCCCGAACGTGTGCTAATACGACAGGTTCCATTGGACGCATTGTATGATATTACAGGAGTTTGTATGATTATAACTGGATCTGGTTTTCGATATTTATAGAGTTTATATCCACCATAGCCTAAACCCATCAGAAAAAGACAGCACGCCACGCTTCCGCCAACTATACCACCGACGCGGCTTGCACTTGAACTCTTTCCTGGAGAAAGAAACACAAAAGTGGCCCATTTTTGGTCGACATTTAACAAATATTAAAATAGACAATTAAAAAGGCAAAAATGCAACTACGTCAAAGATCTTCTGTGAGGTATTTTTTAAAGAAAAACTAACCAATAAAATATCCGGGGGGTACTCAACAAAGCGGGTGGGCTCTGCCCTGAGGTCCAGCCCGTAACACTTTTATATTGGCATTTTTGACCGAAAAGGTACCCCTTTCGTATTAGCGGAGCCTCCATTGCTATAAAAAAATGGAAACTTCTCGATGCAAGAAAATTTGATTATGACGTTAGCGTTCGTACGAACGTACGTACGACCGTAAGGACTGGCAGGGAGGGACTAGGTTGGGACTAAGTACTCTTCAAGGGAGGGGTCGGGGAATCCGAGACGTGCAGCTTGCGTTTTTCTTGACCAAACGTTAACCAGTTCACCAAGAGGCAGACAATGGAGTTTTCCAGTGAAGATCTTGAATTTCATTGTTTAACTTACCACAAAAAAAACGTATAGTTATAAAATATAGTCTTAAGGATATGCTTTAATGAACTGGGGTACCGCATACCAAACTAAGTTAAATACAATCAAAATAAGTCAAAATAACTGCATGCGCTGCATATTCTTTGCCAACAAAAGAGAAAATCCCACACCGTACTTTACAGTATTAGAAATCTTAAAGTTAGAGAATATTTTTAAATTAAAAATTGGCGCCCTTGTGCATAAAATTCAATATCAAAAAAAGTATACACCTCCTGCCCTCTATGACTTCGCTCAACCGGCTTCGGCTGCCATAATTATAATACTAGGTATGCCACTAATCAAAACCTGCACAGAACATTTCCCAAAACTAAATATGGCCTAGCAAGGTTTAGTGAGTGGCATCACAGACCAGGGAAGCTACACCTATGAAAATTAAGTGTCTCCCCTTAAACAGTTTTAAAAAAGAATATCAGTAAACTCTCTCTACTTGACAGCAAGGCATCTTGAACAACTTTAATCTGTTATTTAGCTCTATTTATCTAATTATTTAATTTAAACAGTTATTATTACTCATGTATACCCTACCTTTTTAACATGATTAATTTAGCCAGAATTCCATAACTAGTGTTTTTATAAGTATTGTATAACCTCCACTTACTTGTAACCGCTCTGTGGTAGTAACCAACTCGAAAGCTTGGCTCCTTTGGTTGCTACACACTGTTTTCCTTTGTTATGTTTAATTCAATGTATAGTTAGCTCTGTTTTTTACTTATTTTTTTTTCTTATTGTTGTTGTATTGTAATTGAATAAGTGTGAATAAATGAACTTGAACTTGAACTTAAATTAGTTTGGTCAAAGTTTTGAAAATGCGTCAAAACTCATGCAGCATCTTCAAGTTTGTTTACCGAAAACTAGCAACTCGTGTACTTTTATTTTTTAAACGTTGCTTTTTGTGTTCTGTACGTCAATGCTTCCACAACATTAAATACAGCTGCTATCAAGATTCTTTCGTTGTTCAAAGTTGGTTTTGTGGCTGGCGAAAGCGTCTCATTTACCGTCAAATTCATATGTTTTTAGATGGCAGTGGTTTTAAAAGTTGATGCAGCCTTCTACTGAACTAATTTACTTCCTTTGAAGACATGTTTCTTAGGTGAGGTTGGTTACATTTATTTTTTGTTTCTGGTTTACTTTTTTATGATGTATAGTACGTACGATGCATGTTTTCAAAATTTGATCGGGACGGGTGATGTACGTTATAAGATTAAAAATGCGCATGCTTAAGCTTATAAACATTTATTTCTGGTTGCCGATGAGACAAAGTTTTAAAGAATACTCAGTTGAAAGAAACAGTAAGACACAATAAGACTTAATAGAAAACAAAGTTTAAAGGGTTTCTAGACAGTTTCGACACACTAATCGCCTTTCTTGAATTTATCAAACTGAGTCATTGTTGTTGTACATGTTCTGTTGAATATTACTTTTAGTTACTTTTTCTTCCATAATTCGTGCCCTGAATGCCGCTAAAATGAAGCCTTGATGACGGTCTGTTTACACTTTCTGTATCCTCGCCTCCGAAAGGTAAATATGAAAGAGTTCTTGTTTAATCTGCTGAGAGTCTCGTAGTTTTGCGAGCCCGAGTTAGCCCTATTGAAATAGTGTTAAGCTGTTATAACGTTTATAATTGTCAATCTATAAAGTCTATCGCATGAACACGATGCAACCGCACAGTTTGTATAGATTTAAGAATTTAAAATTCAATACTTGTAGCCGAAAAAGTTAAATAAGTTATTTGCTTCACTCCTAACAACTCTGCTGATAAAATTTGAGGGCGTTACATGCAGCTACATGCGTTAGAACCACTTTTTAAAATTTTTCTATACATTTGTCTGTAAAAATTTCTCTTCTTCCCGACTAAAATTTCCCGGGAAAAATTGCAGACAAATATATGGAAAACCTAAAGCAAGGGTCTGAAAAAATTTAAGCACAGTAACGGCCCTAAAAATTTGTTAGTAAAATCCTTTGCTGTGTAGCTTTAGTTTACAAGTCATATTTTTTTCAGAACAGCCGTTTTACGGAAATTATTTGACATAAGATTCTCATACAAACATTGTAATTCGTCACGCCATTGCCAACTCGTCAAGATGGCTTCCAAAACCTAGAGCCTATTTACGTTTTATTTGTATTTAAACATACAGAATTTTTTATTTCTCACGAGGTTATTTGCTAAACACCACACTTTAAGTTCCTGGTGTCGGATTTTCAGTAGCGGGTCTAGTTCGCGCAAAATTCGGCTTTTATAGATTTCAGAGTTCTTTTATTATTAATTGATGTCATAGTGATATCGATTTTACTTAAAACTGCATTTTGACAAATTTCAATTCATAGTCAATCCTGGTGAAAATTTTATAGCGATGGGACAAAGATAAAATCATCACCTTTAAAGCGATTGAAAAATATCGGTATGGTCTCCGAAAAACTGTATCGAAACACCTTAAAAGCTCAGGACGCGCTTAGTCCGTTGTTAGGGAGTAAAATTCAAGCAAATATTTTTGTCTTAAATTTAAGAATTTTTGACTACAGCCAACTCTTAATATCGCTCCAAGCCATCAGGAAGTTTCTCAGAGAAAGACCAAAAAGTTCCAGCAGCAGGGAACGACAAGAGGCAGTGTTGCGGCGCAAGCTATAGCTGAAGCTATACTATGAGTTTATCAATACATAAGAACATTTTGACCTTAATCCGGTCTAAAAAGTATCAATCAAATGTTTTTCTATTTCACAATTGCCGGTTACCTTTCTCACAGCAGTTTCCGGAGTAGCCTTCTTTACAAAAGCATATTCCATGCTCTAAACTTCCCCCGTTGAGGCAGCTTAACTCCATACATGCTCTTGTCTTCCGAAATGTTGACGAGCAAGTTCCACCACAACGCTCGGTGATTACTCTATGACGGGTAGTGGTTTGAATACCAGAGGCGCCACATAAAGTCGAGCAAGCACTCCACGCAGACCAGGAGCTCAGCTGACAGTTCACTGATCGTGTACCATAGCATTGCCGTGTTTCCTGTAAGTTAGGACATTCTGATCCTCCACAACTCGGCTCGAATACTCGCCATCTTGTCCTTTGTTGTGACCCTTCTTGTCCACATTGTTCAGCACTACATGAGCTCCAAGAAGACCAAGAACTGACTTCACAATCGCGAGGACTGCAGAATCGACGGCGACGACGTCTACTAAACCAGGCGTTAGTTTCAAGGAAACAATTAAAAAGCAGCAAAACGAGAACTATGTTACAAAACTTCATGCCGAAATTTTTGGACACCTTTCACGGAAGTAAAACACTCAAGGTACATTTTTTCTGTTCTTAGCCTTTCAAGAATGAAAATAGACGTCATCGCTAGATTATATGACCAAAGTCCTACAAAACACGTGCCGACACTGAAAATGCTTTTGATTGCTTCCGCACTAAAGGTCAATCTTCAATGTTTCAAGCACTACTCGATAAGCGAATACTTAAAAAGTCGTGTCTTCTAAGATCTATGCCCAATTCTACTTACACTAATTGTTCAACACATGGCGCCCCACAAACGCTCTTTGTGCAAAGCTTTTGTAAGGGAGTACCCGCCTCCCCCCAGCCAAAAGTACCTTTGTACGAAGGGTAGGTTTAGAAGGATGAAATAAGGACCGGATGAGACACAAAATGAATGGAGAACAGGAAAGTTTAGCTGATAATGACTTACAAGACCCCAAGGTTGCGTGAGAACTGTGGAAATACAAATTTCAATGAAGATTTCATCGTCGCGGTACACAGTGGTAATTTCATAAATCAATTGCAAATTTACCCTAAAAAAAATTCGGTAAGTTTAACAAGATTCAAACCAATGGCCTCTGCGTACGTTAACGCTGCAGTTCACTTCCAATTAGTGTTATTAAATTAACCGGGTTAACTTCCTGCTACAAAGTGGCAAGATAATTTTTTTCACCCCACGCCTTGTTAGCCAGTTAGATGATAATAAAAACTGAGGAAACCATTTCTCCCTTCAGCCGACTCATTTGAGATTGTTTTGATACAGTAACAAATCTCATTAAGGCGAGGAGGACAGTAAAAAACGTAATTCATGGTTTGTAACCAAATATTTGATTTGCTTGACTGGTCTGACACCAAAGTTAATTGGCAACATTACTTTTTGAAGTTTTTCTCAAACTTTTCTCAAAGATATTAGTTAAAATCATTTTATTTAAAAAAACGTTAAAAACATGTCGACGTTCCGACGTTCTCGGACGTAGGGACTTTAAGATACCACTACGGCGACGACAACGAGAACGTCAAAAAAGCAATAGGTTGAAAAAGCAAAACAACAACTCTGCACGTGCATCACGCTTTTTTGTACATTTCTTTGCCGTCACTGCACCACTACTATACGACGTGAAAATTCCTAATTTCACGTTTTATGGAGGACGTAAACAACCGACGCCTAAATTTTCTTTCTCTTTCTGAACTTGAATATGGTTGGTACGAATTCTGCTCAAAAAGAGTTCGCTTGCATTTGACAAAGTAAATGAAGTTGGAGTAACGGGTATAGGCTGAAAGAACGCAAATTCACTTATTTTAAGGTGGCTCCCTAGAGTATTTACTAATAACCCTAGCTGTCTAGCATACGTTACAGAACGAAACCTAGTCACCTTGTCTTTACGAATTTGTTCACGAGATTCACCGCTAAGGTTACCCATATAAGAAGGCTCCTTTATCAAGTTTCATTTTCTGGATTAAGGCCGTTGCCATGGCAACATCGCATCCCTAGCCAGGCAGTAATTTTGTCATTTTTGATCATTTTTTCTTAATATTTCTTATTTTCCTCGGTGAATGTCTTTAAACTTTGCCACTTTATATTAACGATATTGCTTAACATTTTAAAGTGGAAAAAACATGGGGTCGTTAAGACGGTTTTGCCAATATTTTGAAATTTGTAATTTTTCTTAATGGAGGAATTTAGCTCTTACAGATTTTAACAAAAATAGGAGAGTACAAAGGTACTGCAACTGTTAAGAAATGAGGCGATTTTTAAAAAAATTTACCAAAGGAAACGCGAGAAATTCACGGTTAATTAACTACGTTGACGTCACAAAAATCTGAAAAACACGCGTGGTTCGGGGTCGTATGAGCAAAATACGCGCGCGAGCCATCACGCCCGCATGCGCATAATGCACAAAGCTACTGAAAACACGTGGTTTCCTTGAAGAGTACGAAAGCCATTGTTTTGAAGCCTTTTATTAGTATCATTACGGTGATATTTCGCCAGTTGAAAAAGGAGAGATAGCGGATTCAATTTTGTACCTAACACAGGATGTTTTCTTCGAAGTACTTGACTATTGTAGCTAAAATTCGAACCGTGGTGGTCACTCGTGAGGATGTCGATCGTCGGCGATGAAGACGGTGGTTGTGCAAGGATCGCAATAAGCCCTTCATTTCCTTATCTGCTGTATACTGTTTGCAGATCTTCAAATGTCAGCCCACTTCCGGATACTTTTTCAACCTTGTTCTTCTTTAGGGATAATTTGGACGGCGAAGTCTTTCTTTAAAAGTCTGCTGTAAATTATAAAAGATGGTGCCGATATCTCTAAATCGTACATCATGTCCTCAGCTACATGTACAAGACCGTAGGTCTAGGCGGACAACTGTTGCTCTCGTCAAGGGTCAATCTGTGAGTAAAATTATTTCTCGTTGTGCAAAAACATTGTCCATTTACTTCGACTATTTAACGTTTGTCTACTTTTGAAGTGAAAGAATTGATGTCTTTGAAAATTTCTGCTTTTAATTTGTTTTTATATACAATTTACTCTTTTGGAGATCGATAGTGACTTGTAACCGGTGTAATATTGTCTCCTCTCATAAATGTTTGACCTACACTAATGAAACTTTTTGCACAATGAGCTTCAATAGAAATTTTTTTGGGGTAATATTTCGAAACTGAGAGGCCATGTTTGTTTTAATTTTTGCGTGAACGTCGCGCGGATTTTAAAGCTCGCGCCATGCTAGTGCTCAGGCTGCGCACGGCCAATTTACTCTAGGGAGCCACCTTAAGCGACGTTTTCGTGGCCGTCGCCGTCGTGGTATCTTCAACTCCCTATTATCAAGTCAAAAGTAGAAAACAGCTCATATATATTTTATAAATACCAGTATACAGAAATTGAAAGGCCTGAGCTGCATTGGTGGATCTATATTCTTTGGATTTCAAATCAAGCTATTCCTTTTTCAGAAAAGGACTGATTCACCAGATCAAAAATCAGGATGTGGGTTGCATTTTGCGAAAGGAACACACCCTTAAGTCATTTGAATTATTTTCTATCGTACTGCCGTATCATGCTGTTAAATATTGCAGCATAAATTGGAGTCGGCCATCCAGTCGTGAGCTTCATAACGCTGTTCCCTAGGGTAGTGTCCTTGGACCTGTTTTATTCCTGTTTATAATCCACCCTTGGGTGATATTATGAAACACCATAACGTTGAGTTTCTTTTGTATGCCGGCTTCCTCTGCTGACTTGGGAAATTAGCAAAAGAAGACTGTGTTTGAGATATCGATGCTTGGATGACGGTAAACATGTTTAAGATGAACAGGAACAAGGCAAATCGGTTGTCCTATATGCTAGTCCTCGCCCACCTCCACCTCCGACGTCAATTTCGGTTTGAGATGAGTGATTAGCAAGTCATCGGTAGCTAGAAACATTGGTGTTCTGTATGATACATTCATGCCAGTGGAACATCATGTCACAGCCGTACGCAAGGCAGGCTTCTACCACCTTCGAGACGGTAGCCGCATAAGGGAATACATCAGTCGCCTTACGGAGGAAATACTTGTGCATGCTTTCATTCCTTCGAGATTGGACTTCTGTAATTTACTACCGAAACAAACTATCAAGAGACTTCAGCATGTTCAAACCGTTATCATTGAATACTGACATTGTATCGAAGAGAGGTTATTGTAACTGTATCTCAAGGAGCACTATTGGGAGCATTTTTCTTTCAGACTTAATATGATTATCAGGAGGCCTAGGTACCTCGAGCTCACTTAGGAAACTGGGGTCATTATACGTTTCTTGGAAACTACCCACCTACCCCTCCCCTAAGCCAAGATTAACACTAATGTCTCACTTGGGGCAAAGTGTTGGCTTAGGGCAGGGGTAGGTGGGCACTTTCCCAGAAACGTATAAAGGTCGGCAAGTCTATTTTGTTGATCGATTTGTTTCGAAACGGAGTAGTTGATATCGAGTAGTAGGTTTGGATGAACAACAACAACAAAAATCTTTATTTGCATGACCAAAATCTTTACAGTATTCCAAAAGCGTACAACAAACCATGGGAACAATTTTAAAATCACAACGATCATTGAAATTATAACGACAATTGAAATTAATTTAAATGTAACATGATGTAAATAAGACACAAATTAGAGTTCATAAATTCTATTATCAATTCGATCATTAACAAATACATGATATCTTAAAGTCTGGGATCATAGACTCTATCTAACTATAATAATTATCCAGGTTAAATGTTTCATAATCATATAACTAAAGTGAAAACCCAATACAACGAAACTCTGTTATAACAAATGACTTTCTTCGCCCTCAATTAAGCATAGCAAAATGTATCAAATACCCGATTGAACGCACTCTCGTCATAACAAACGGCGATTTTTCTAGTCCAGGTGTCAAGGTACTCTTTAATGTAATATATGCCTACAGCATACTCTCTTTTCCTTACTTATAGGAGAAGTTTAATATCGACTACAGTTGCTGTCGTTACGTTCAACTCTTAAATTATTTCCTCTTCCGAGAACCTTGTGGTTGTTCCTTTATTTGTTAAAACAGATAAAAGAATGGTTTATATTAACACCGCCTGCAGGACCCACACTGTTATTTGTTTAAGACGACCTTAAGGCAAACACCAATGATGATGATCAATACCAACGCGCAGCCAGCACCAATTCCTCCTTTTTCTCCACCACTGAGACCTAAAGGTATGAAAATATGCTTTTAGTAGTTTCTGGATAATCAAAAACAAACAACGTCGCCCTAGACAAATTCAGCATGGTTGTATGACTTCAGAGCTAGATCGGGTTGTTCGAAGCTGGGTTAAGATAACTAACCCAGGGTTAGTAAGAAATTTGAATTCAGCTATAAGAGCTTAAAAAGAAAATTCAATTTAATTCTCTTTGTCTACAATTTGAGGATTGGATACTCTAAAAAGAATAGAGAAAATTATCCGAGGGAATGCTTTTGATAAAAAGAAAAAGAATCCCGGGT